TATGGTTTTATTATATTTCCCAGAGTTTGGAGTCAGTGATTTCAGCAGTTTCCTGGTCACATGACACATACAGAGACACGTGAAGCAGCGCTCTCTTCCATCAGCGCAGCGTGACCGCGCACACGCTCTGATAAAAGCCGTCCACCCTGGGACTTCCTACGACACACAGGTGTAAGGTGTTGACGGGCAGACGGCCAAAGGTCAAACCCTTCCCCACCTTCAGGTCGCCCACACCTTCAAACAGCCTCTCCCCGTCCTGCTCCTTCACCTTGGCCAGAGTCAGGTGGTAGCGGGGGTCGAAGGAGGCCCTGTGCAGCAGACCCTCCTTCCTGTACGCCTCCTGCAGGCCGCTGTTGAGCTGCCGCAGGTGGAGTTGGGGCTGGGGGCTGAGGAAGAGCACCTTTCCGTTGAAGTGCTTCAGCTTCACGGGGAAGGTCACCGCCACCGGGGGGTTGCGGTCCCAGTAGGCAAATTGCCGCAGAATCTCCACGGCGGTGGCCACCTCCGCCGGGCCGCGCAGCACCAGGAGGCACAAGGTGACGTGGAGGCTGGAGGCGGGGCTCCAGTAAGGGGCCGAGGAGGGGAGAAGAGCGGTGATCTCCTCCTGCAGCTGCTGGAAGGAGGAGAGGACAGCAGGAGTGTTGGCCCTGAAGCTGATGAAGTGGGTGGGCTTCTTCTTAGGAGGACGACCGGCGTGGATCTGTGTCCCCCGGCCCATGTCCAGGACAGTCTGAGGACGCTGGGACAGGCAAGAGGACAGTGTTGTTACACCTGAACACCAGCGCTCACTGGACTAGAGTCTGAGCTGGGCTGTACTCACCGGGGCATCTTCATCTTCATCTTCATCTTCATCATCTTCATCATCCCAGGTCTCCTCGTCCTTCGCTTCCATCAGACCCACTTCTTTTTCACTGGGGGGGGGTTCCTCAGGACTGAAATCAAAACAGGTCAAGTTACTACCTTCCTCCTGAAGGTGGCGAGGTGGAGCTCAGTAGACCAGGGTTCTACAACCTGTGGCTCCTGAACCACCTGCTGCTCTTCAGGCTCTCTGCGATGGTCCAACCCTAATCTGTCTGTTCCTAAGGTCACTGTTCCTAAGGTCAATGTTCCTAAGGTCAATGTTCCTAAGGTCAATGTTCCTAAGGTCAATGTTCCTAAGGTCAATGTTCCTAAGGTCAATGTTCCTAAGGTCACTGTTCCTAAGGTGACTGTTCCTAAGGTCAATGTTCCTAAGGTCAATGTTCCTAAGGTGACTGTTCCTAAGGTCAATGTTCCTAAGGTCAATGTTCCTAAGGTCAATGTTCCTAAGGTGACTGTTCCTAAGGTCAATGTTCCTAAGGTCAATGTTCCTAAGGTGACTGTTCCTAAGGTCACTGTTCCTAAGGTCAGATCAGACGGACGTTCTTTGCTTTCAAAAACCCAAGATAAATTCATGTCACACGTCACCCTGCTCCTTTCGTCACACCACTCAAATAAAACAGTGTGAATGGTAGTGAACCTGCAGGTGAGTGTTGTGTTTGTCTGTGGCCCTGGGGCAGACTGGACAACTGTCCACTGGACAACTGTCCACTGGACAAGTGTCCACTGGACAAGTGTCCACTGGACAAGTGTCCACTGACTGATGTCACCTTCTAACCGTCGAGTGCTGAAGACAAATAAATGAGCCAACAGCGCCACCAGGGACGTCTAACCCTGACCAGACTTTTGTGACAGAAGGTCAAAGGTCATGAACACCAGACCTGTTTGAAGCAGCCTCTAACACATGTGTGTCCTCACAGCGTGGACACTCCCCTGGGGGGCGACATTCTTCCTGTCCACTGACACCTGGTGGTTGGTTCTCTTCCTCTCGCTCTTGGAATTCTGTTTTGTAAACACACACACACACACACACACACGAACTGGTTGTGTGACAAGTGGCTCATATCTTATAACTATTAACTGTTCAGTCTAACCCTTCACTTCCTCTTCCTCTCCAAAGGGGGGCGCCAAAGATTGTCCAGTGGAACCAAACACCCTGTCAGTTCTGGTGTTGCGGTCCCAGACCCGGTGCCGCCTGTAGCTGAAGTACTGGATCCGGTGCCTGGGCAGAGCCAGTTCAACAGAGTAGTCACAGTCACACGGAGCCGTGTCCCAGCTGAAGTCACAGAACGGACGCTCCACCACTCCAAGGAACCGATCCAAATAACCAACCATGAATTCTGACGCCTCCACCGTCGGATCCCACAGGATCCGAGAGATGACATCATCAGCTGTTCGCATTCGAGGCTTTTTGTTCATACCTGCGGGAGAAGAGGGTATTAATGGACAGACAAGGGCTAAAAGTACCGATATATATATATATATATATATATATATATATATATATATGAATTTATATATGTACGTACTTATATATGTACGCATGTATGTACGTACTTATATATGTATGTATGTATGTACTTATATATGTACGTAAGTACTTATATATATGTACTTATATATGTACATGTGTAGTATGTATATGTTGTAATTAAAGGAGTGACTAATAAAACAGACTAAAAAGGTCGTGACCTTTTCTTCCAGCTCTTTCTTCCTCATTCGTTTCTGTTGTCAGCTCCTTCTTCCTCCTTCCTTGTTTTTCTTCCTTCCCACCAGCCACTGCGTCTCCCTGGTCATGTGACGTAGCAGCTCCTGAACCGTCCACTGAGACCTCACTGACAAATTAAAGCAGAGTAAAGACCAAACATTAAGTCGTCATTGTTTTCTGCTAACGCTAATGTAAAGGACCTTGGTAGGTCACTTCCTGTTTGAATAAAAGGTGACATGAACCTAGGTTCCTGACTGATCAAAGATCAGATCCAACAAAATATAAAATCCTCTTCAGAAATGTTTCCTGGACTCATCAAACACGTACTGCATTCAGAGTAATAAGTACAAATATGTAAATGTTTTGGTTGAGGCAGCAGCCAATACTGGTATACATACGTTTACTACAAATACTTAGAGTACACACCTGTGAGCAAGACGACATCTTTTTCCAAAATGACACTTTCCCATGAGGAAGAAGGGGCAGAGTTTGAACTCCTCCTGGTTCTCTTGTGTGTTCAGACAGCAGAGGGTTAAAAAGACACTTCAGTGTGAACTCTGACCTCCAGTGATGAGTCTGAACAAATGTGTCTCCACTTCTTCAACTAAAGTTCTTGTCAGAAGGACAAAACTAAAGATGAAGCTATATATCATTCTAGTGACATCACAGCAACTGACCAGAAGGTACGGGCTCACAGACCACAGACTGAGGTGACGGACCAACACAAACACAAACACAAACGTAATGAAACGTGGTTGTCTTTTCAGTCTGCAGCCAATGACCTCACGACTTGAATGAACCTGATGAAGGAGAATCCTTACCTGCCGCGGCTGTGGCCGTCGGTACTGACCGGTGTGTGACCTGGTCACCGTGACCCTCTCCACGGGACTCCACTGATTTATCTGTCGCCATGCTCACCACACCTGTGGAGACTCGAGCAGTTGGTAAACCGACGTCGTCAGTGTTTGTCTGTTCCGTGAAACCGCACCTTAAACTTTGTTTGTCACAATCGCACAGCAAAACCAGACATTGTCGCTGAATATACACCTGTCAGTGACTGTACCGCTGATCCCAGTGTTTTTACAACGTTAACACACGTTAACGGTTCAACAAAACCTACTTAGTAACACATAAAAGTGAGTAATGACTGTAAAAAAACAGGCGTTTCTTCGTTTACATTACACTTTGACCCTGAATTATGGCCCGAGAGAGAACTGTGGGAAATGCAGTTTTAATTCTAAGGGTTTTTTTGGTCTGAAATGCTTCGTTTTATCAACGGTGGAACAGCCTTTGTAAAGAAGTTCTTCATAAATAACACTCGTCACGCTTCGATGCCACCAACACATTCTTCGTTTCTGGAGCAAACGGGGAAAGATCTTTCTTTAAGAGGTTTGCCCACTTTTTCCCACTCGGTTTTGTCCGTGAACGCAGCTTATTGGTCACGCGTCACCCAAGCTCGAGCTCGTGATTTTGACTCACGTGACGTGACGTGATGTTTTTGTGGGTTAGCCGCGCAGCTTTAGCCATATGCTAAAATAAGCTGTTAAAACAAACAGCGCTATAACAGCCTGGAGTCCCGGCAGCTGGAGACAGGGACAGGGACAGGGACAGGGACAGGGACAGGGATGGAGAGCGGGAAGGCGAAGGGCTAACAATGAGGGCCAACAGTTCGGCCACACAAAGAGGTGAAATGTGTGAGGTGAGCGCAGTGCTGCTGGTCACGTTGGTTTAATATTTCTCCAGCTACATGACAGAGAGGAGACGGTGGACGAGTGGTCAGTGCTTTGACCCTTTTCTTTTCTTTCTTTTTTTTCCAAACACAGTGGAACCCGGGTTTTAGAACCTCATTTAGAACCTGAAGGTCGTTCATGAACAGAAAAGTTCAAAAACTGAAACCATTTTCTTCTCCATAGGAGTCAATGTCAAATGGATGAATCAGTGAAATATTTTTTTCATCATTTTTTCATTGTGTTATTCTTTGAAACATTAATTTATTCAATATCCTTGTTTTTATTGAGGTTTAGTTCACGATCAGACTCATCACTGACCTGGTGCTAATAATAACTGGCAGAATCTTTTCTTTCAGCCTTGGTTTCCACATTTTCAGGTTCGGCCAAGAATTTTCATTTCGATGCATCACTACTACACAGGTATACGTGTATACATGTATACTGCAAGTACAGTGGAGTTGTACACGTGTTGTACTGTCCTGTGCTTAAAGCAGTATTTTCTTCTCGTAATGCAAATAAATCTGTACTAATGTTAACCCCGCTCGCCCCAGCTGTGGTGTGTTTACCAACACTGTCCTATGGAGAATAGATCTAGCACTTAGCACTTAGCACTTAGCATCACTTGTCTCTGTCACTTTTACAGCTATATATACACAGCCAGTATAGTGTGTCGGAGGTTCAGTTTCTGTGTCTGGACGTCACTCGTCACCCTCGCTGCTCCACTTCCCTCGTCGATAAAATATGTGGACGTACAGGAGACAGTGACCACGGGGATGGAACACCGGTTTGATTAGGGGGGGGGCGGGGGGGCTGGGTCACATATTTGAAATTCAAGGGTTAAGTTTCCCAACCTCTGCAGTGCAACACATTGCTGTGATCCCTGGCCTAATTATAGAGGTGCAGGTTTAGGAGAGGGTGTTTGGGCGAATGACAGTGGGGGGGGCAGTTACGATTGAGTGTAAATAATTGGAAATAGCAGCAACAAACCAAACACACGGCACTTCTTTCAAAACCCTTTATTTAAAGGCCAGAGCGGTGCTACATGATGTCTTTATACAGGAATAAAAATGAGCAAAAACCTTCGAAAAAAGCACAAAATGAAACGAATGACTTCAAACCTGAACAAAAAATAGAACACCTTCACGTTATGTACAGAGCAGACAAATATAAAATGACACATCTCACCTTCCCTCAGGTGAAACCCAATCACTGTACAGCACACGTTATAAATAATGACAACCTACGCCCCCTGTTGATCAAGTATCAAGTGTTAAAGAGGTTTGTTCGACTGACTGCTACAACAATCAAGGATTCTGTCTACAACCGAGGCAACGACGGGAAACAACAGGCAACGACGGGAAACAATAGGAAATGACATGCTACAACAATCAAGGATTCTGTCTACAACCGAGGCAACGACGGGAAACAACAGGCAACGATGGGAAACAACAGGCAACGACGGGAAACAACAGACAACAACAGGAAATGACAGGAAACAACTGGCAACGACAGGAAACTACAGGCAACAACAGGCATATACGTCAATATGAACATCAACATTTAAGGCCGAGTGTATTTTCATTGTAGCCGTACATAAAGTTTCACCAACCACGGTGTTTTCACCTAAATCTAATAACAAACAAAAAAGTACTTTAACAAAATCATCAGTCAATCAATGAACCAATCAGCTGCGACTTGATGAAAACACTGGACTTTGGTTTTTTTTTATATATCACGACATCGTTGTTCGTCATCACTGAACATCGTTGATGTCCGTGGGTGTTTTCCAGAAGCCCGTGGCTGGAGTTTTTTTTTGTTCTAAAGATTATTTTAAATAAATCTAACTTCAGTTTCATAAATATAAATAT